GGAACCTCCTGTAGCTACACCGACAGCGGTGGAGGAAAGGAAATCGGTAGGGACTGAGACTAGCAGGAATTAAAACCGAAGACGTTTGGAGTATTTGGCCCAAAAGGGACTTTGAACATATCCGCTCTCTCTCTGAATCTGCGGTTCAGAAGGGAACCAGTTAGTTTGAAACAACTAAAATGCATTACATATATAGATATATAAAAACAAAACCGTGTTCATTCTTCCTGCTGCTTTTGTTTTAGATGGAAGCTGTGTTCCCATTGAGTTGCTTGCTCTTAGGGTGTTAACAATTGGATTTGTAGTACCTGCTCTGTAATAAAGAGACTATAACTGAAGGAACACAGCAGTTGAACACGGTGGCACACGCCATTTGTAAATAAGCCCTGTAGTGCTGTAGAAGTGAATAGAAATTTAAGGAGGTAATCTGTTTTGGTTTTTTTCCTTAAATCATCACATTTCATACCTTTCGTATTTTTCTGGTACCTCACAAAACCATTGCATGTTGGGTTCCACAAATTACTCACGTGACTGGCAGCTTGTTTGCTTCATCCATAGGAAGTTTTCAATTAGTACTCTTGAAATAGAGCAGCTGGGGGTTGTGGGGGTGGGATTGGGAATCGAGTTTCTCACCTTCACAGCGGCTCGGTAAAGCTTGTAAAGGCAGCTCAGAACCAGAGAACAGAAATATCTTTATTTTTACAAAACAGATGCATGCATCTATCCGTGTTTATGCACACGGATTGCTTGAAGAGGCTTGAGCCACGGTTTTGGATGAAGCTGGCAGTGTCGGCACTATCAGGAGCACCCCAGGGGCAAACCCAGTTTGAGTGGGGCAGAAGGCAGAGCACCAGGTGGGTTATGTGCAGCACGCCTCCTTGATTTGTAATCTGGCCTCATATGTAAACCTCTATGTAATTTACATGCATCCGTAGTTACAAAACACTCCGTATCGCACCATTTCGTGCTTAAAATCCCCCTAGACCGCAGCGGAGGAGGGCGGTCCCACCTGGGGACCAGGCGGGTATTCTCGACGGGAACGGGACCCAGGCGGCCGCAGCCACCGAGCCGGGGGGGCGGGTTGCGGGGGACCCTGCCCCGTGCGGCAGGAGTCTGGCTGCTCTCCCCGCGGGAGTGGGCAGGCATTGCCGACAGTGGGGAACAAAGCCACCTCCAGCCCTTTGTCCACTCCGCACTGATCTGCCCCATCTCTCTCTGGCCTGTTTCGCGGAGGGACGCGAGGATGGAAACAAACTGCTGTACGAGGGTGACTCTGCTGGCACTACCGGTAGTGCAGCTGGTGCGGGGAAAAAGAGGGGAACAGCAATTGGGGCTGCCCTGCTGTAGGGGATGAGGATGGAGCCGGGACCTGGGTGGATAACGCTCACCCACAGGCAGTGGAAGGACTTGGAAAAGAGTGATGTGCCAGTACACAGAGCAAAGGCGGTAAACTTTTGCCCTCAAGGGGTGGTGATCCCGAAGGTTTTGTAAGAGGGAAGAACAATAAATGAAATGTTTAATGCAATGGGAAAGTGTTAACTTACAGAACAGTAACTTTTGAGGCTTTGCTGTGCACCTTTAAAAACTAGTGAACTCTGTGGAAAATTACAGAACTGCAGCTATATGCAAGCTACTCGTCTGAATATTTGCTTTTTAAAAAAGGCAAATCTTGCTAAAGGCAAATCTTTACCTGGAGACAAACTCAGTTCTGATGTGGAATGCAAAGCAAAACGATTCGTTGCTTCTGCTAATTGCTCTGGTTATTTTACAGGTTCTGAACGTAGGAAATATGAATGACTGGCAGAGGAAAAGTGCTCTAGACTGGGCATCGTATGTGAACAAATTGGTGAAAGTTGTTGCAGTTGAGAAACATGAATATGAAGGATGGGTTGTAACAGTTGATCCAGTTTCTACCAGGTAAGCATGAAAGCTTTTACTTCTGTAACACTAAGAGGAACCCAGTCTTTTGAGGAGTAGAAAAGATCCCAAGACTGAATCAAATTTATTTGGAGCGAAAACTGCATATTAGGGCTCTGTGTCCTATTTCTTTTTTGCTTGATAAGGCCTTAGAGAAAGCAACATTGTAGTTGGTAAGGCCAGTTCACCTAAATCCACTTCTTTAATCCATTTGAAGGACTGATAAGTAGGGGAATGGATAGTATCTGACTTATGCAGACTTCATTGTGGACTTGAAGTTAGTACTTTTAATTATATCCTTGTTAAAGGAGAAGCTGTTGCCCAAGCATTCTCACACCATTCAAGGAGTCACACTCACACCACCTGAGACTGTCACTGCTGGGACCAGAGTTCCCTTGCAGCGGGTGGCTCCAAGTGAGCCCACAGGTTTCGACTCTTTCGACTCCTCACTCACACACGCTCACTCTTGTGTGTGCTTCCTCCCTCTTTAGACTAGGCCCTAGGTTTCCCATAGCAGAGCCTGAAGCATCAGATTTAATAGAATGGCACAGCAAGAGGTCAGCTCGAGCCTGGCAGCTCCAGAGAGGGACCTAGAACAAAGAAATTGTTGGGCCTTTATACCCTTACAGCCCTTTCCTCACTTTTCACGTGCTTTGCATGCACCTCTTGGTTCCGATGGTGATTTTTGTTCTGGGGTCTTCTAATGCTTTCTGTCTCTGTGTCACTTCAGGGCAGGCCATTAACTGTGCTTGTCTTGTCAAGCTGTAGCTTCTTCTGATGGCTGTGGCCTCTATCTTCTGGTTCTTACTTACTGTGCACTTCCTCACTGCGTGGGCATGGGAAACTAAAAAGTCGTTGATTGTAAGCACTGCTCAGCAACAACCAACATCACTGGGCTATAAACATTATTCTCATACCAATTCAAAACTCAGCACTCTAGAAAAATTGCTAAGAAAATCAACTTTATGCCAGCCAAATGCATATCCAGGTGAAAGTTCACAGCTTGTGGCCTAAGGCTTCAGCAAATACAGCTACTCATGCTAGGCAAGTAAAGCTAAGGAAACAGCACACTAACTCACACCGTATTATAACTCTGACTTACTCTTACTTAAAACTTGCGTATTAAGCTAAACAACTATTACTTCTCAAGAATCCATGCGTTTAGAACTGCATTTAGTTATACACCAAGCACTTCTTTAGGAAGAGAGCAGG